AGACCAGGGCTGCTTTGATGCTGTTTTGCCTCCAAGGTAGGATCTCCATTATTATGGAGATGAGCCACCGCTGAATATCGCAATAACATAATTGCTCCCCAGGGCTGAACTCCTAAGAAGGAGGTACTGCTCACCCACAGACAGGCTTCCCAGCAGAGACGAAGGACGACGGAAGCAGTCGGCTCCCCTTCCTGGCAGGGCTTCGATGGGCCTTTTGGGGAAACACTCGCTCTGCCTCCCAGGGGCCTTGTCTCCAGGCCAGCATCTCGCACCTCCTGCAGGCCTGCGGCCCTGGGCCGGGACTTCCCTCCCCTCTACAGAGCGGCAACTCCCCCAGAGGCCTCTGGGAAGAGAGGCAGATTACGGCAGCAAGCCGACTTCACGGCGGGAACAGACTTCAGTGTCTCTGGACAAGACGCGTGTATTTTGTTCCTATTCAGGTCAAATGTTCCCATAAACCGCGAGCTTTGACCTGACTGCACTTAGGGGTCAGGTGAGCTGAAACCACCATGTCCGTCTGGGAGGAAGCACCAGGGACAGCCTCACTGTGTCTTCAGACCCCGGTGGCAGTGGCCTGGAGCGCTGGTCCGGGTCCCCGGGCCCAGCTGCCACCCCGGAGCTGTTCCCTGGTGCACCTCCTGGAAGCGCCGGTGCTCGCTCCTCCCTGACCCTTCCCGCGGGCCGGCTCGCGTTCACGCCTCCTCCTGGCTGTTCTTCCGCCTCCCCGGTCCGCTGTCGCAGGCTCCCCCAGGCTCTGCTTCCACTCACATGCTGCCCGGGGCCCTTCCTTGGGGCACCGGCCTCTGATTCCCAGGGGTCCTGGTCCCCCGAGCTCTCCCCTGCGCACTTGCTCACTGCTCTGCCCCTTGCCTGAGGGGCCTACCGGCCTCTGCCTGGACACGCCTGGCCCGGCACCACCGTGGGGCTCCCCCGCCAGTCGCTCATTCCCTGCACCAGGCTCTGCCAGACGCCAGGGTCACACCTGGGAAGGAAACCCACACAAAGGGCCCTGTGCGCCCAGAGCTAATGACGCCCTGGGTGCCAGAGCTGGTGCGGACGCGGGCTTCTGCCACTCACTGCTGAGAGTCCCTGTGGGAACTGCTTCTGATCCTAGGGTTCTGGGCTTCTGTTGATTCTGGCTCTCCTGTATTTTGATGTTTCTAAGACAGGGCGTCAAACTCATTTCCACCGGGGGCCACACCAGCCTCGCGGTTGCCTTCAAAGGGCCGACTGCAACATCAGGACTGTGTGAATGTAACTTCTCCTCAACAGTTACCCGGGAGCTCGGCGCCGCCACCGGGCGGAAACAGGGCCCCGCCAGCTTGGACAGAACAAGGTGGAGGCCGGGCTCGGCCCGGGGGCCTCGTGTCTGCCCCGGTGTCCTCAGGGACCACCTTTGGTTTCAGCGCCTCAAGGGCCTTCTGTGTAGGAGCTGAAAGGACGGGAGATGACGACTTTTTCACCAGGTAGTGTCACCGCTCAATTAACACCCATGCCAACGGTGTGAGTGCCCCAGGGATGCTGGCCTCGGCGACTGGGGGCCTGGCTTTACGTGTCTGACCCATTGGGCACAGTCTGAGGGCTGGGCACGCGCCTGGGCGAACACGGATTGTCTTCTGCATGCGGACACGCTGCCCGCAGGACAGTGAAGCGTGGAGACTGCAGGCTACACCTCTCCTTGAGACCCTGGGCTTAGTACAGACAAGGCCAGTGGGGATGCGGGGTCAGTGTCTACGGGCCGGAAAAGCAGACGTGAACATGTACTTGAAAAACAGCCCATGTGTTAACATGAAACCAGTATTTCTGAGTCTGTATGCACCCAAGATACACACGATATATCACCATGTGATTCAAGAAGACGAAAACTTAACTCTGCTAATGTTGCTCCTTATTTCCTTTGTAAACTCATGTCTAAGCGATTGCTTAGTTCACACTGAAATTGAGTATCACGTAAGAAGTAGGTAGCATTTGGCAAAGTCTTTCAAAGCATAGATTCTAGGGGTCATGAAGTTCTGGTGTTTTGTACTTCAGTGCTTAATACTTTTTGTTCAAATGTTAAAGATTTTCCTTTTGATTCTAAGATTCAACGTTTCAAAGAGAACCGGAGCTCGCAGGCCGGCAGACTAGAATTCCGTCTTTTTTGTGGTGTCTAACAATTTCAACCTCCCCCGAAGCAGGGGTTCTGAGGTTTTCCTCTCGCCAGCACCGCGGGCGACTGTTTTGCTCAGTGAGCCACGTAAATCGTGTCTCATTTACCAGAGAAGAACGAGGAAAATGGCAGAACTCCTCCCCCACCAATGAGGAAATCATAGGAAAATCTTCCCCATTTTTCAGCCTTTGTAGAAGTTGTGAGATGTTCAGCTGAGCTGGCCTGTCTCTGAAGTTCAAGGCCTGTGGAGTATGTGTGGCCCACGGGTGTGTGGTCCATACTGTACTAACCACAACATTAAAAAATTAGTAAATAGTTGTAAGGATTTGAAAATTAAGATAGTGCAAATGAAAGTCCAGGTTTCTTGTTTCTCTTTAAAAAACAAAATGGGAGAATGGGAAGGCACCTGGCGTGTCTCTGAGTGGGGTGGGGACGTGAAGGCCGAGGGGCCGGGGTCTCCTCTGGAGGGGCTCTCGCCGGTGTCCCTGCCACCCCAGGACATCGGCTGGGGTTGGACTCGCCTACGTGACCGGAGTGGTCGAGTCCGCTCAAGGTGGTCTGAGTCGGGGCGGGGAGGGGCAGAGCTGCGGGCACAGCACTGTGTGGAGGGCGATGCGCCGATGCCCGTGGTCCGGGCCTCGCAGACGGAGCTGGAGGGACAGGCGATGAACTGCCAGGCTGAACTGCCAAAGGTTGAGACGGTCTCGGACGCCCACTCGTAACATCAGGAGGAGAAGGCCCACCGGCCAGCGGGGACGAGCAGAGAGAGGCCGGCTTGGAGGTGAGTCAAGTGCTGGAGATGATCAATGAAATCCACTCACCAAAGAGAACTCTTGCTATCCATACGCCATTTTCCCACAGGTCTTTTAACCAACGGTCGAGTTACCGCAGTGGCGAGCAGTCATCAAAACGCCAAAACGTCACCTGGCAGCTTCTCTCCGTGGCCGGTGCTAGGACGATGCTTCATGGGCGGGGCTGAGTTTGGGCAGAACTGTGGCCCGTTCAGACCAAGGAAACTCGGTGGAAGTGTGGCACACTGGTCCCGCTTGGCCAGAGCTTTGAGAGCCCGCGGGTGGATGGCCACCCTCTTCCTGCAATTCCCAAGTCCCCAGGGGGCACTCCCCCCACCTCGTACCCCAGCTTGGCTCCAGAGGGCAGCGAAAGGCCCCGGAGGGCCGGGCAGTCGCGCAGGAGCGGCCGTGAAGAGTCTGTCCCAGCGGCCGAGCCCTGTCTGTCCAGCCAGCATCCGCCCGCCCCTGCGACCCCATTCTTTCCTGGTCCCTGACCTGTCTGTCTAGTACCCGCACTGTTTTGAAGACATTTTTCCTTCGTTTCATTGTTAAATTACAACTATAAAGTAGAGCCGGCTTCTAAGCACTACCTCCGCACACACCTGTTGTAGTTCAGTCACATCTCCACTCACATCAGCGTGAGTCGTAACTGAGAGAAGTCGCCCGCCAGGCCACCGCGCGGGGGCCTGATGCGTGAGGCTGCAGACCCGGTCACCGCGTGGTCTCCAGGCCCCGCGGGGCCCCCGCATGGGAACGCCACGCCTGTCGTCCGTGACCTGCGCTGCTTCCCCGACACAGCGGAAGTCAGACAGGGGCGTGCGTGGTGAATTTAATGCGCGTGTGGATACAGCATCTGAAAACCGTGTCGGGGCTGTTTGCCCGATCGTTAATAAGAACAGCATCGCCAGTGCACTGATCTGATTTGCATATGCAAATCCAAGGGTGCACAGGTGTAAAGGGTACACGCGTATAAGCTTTTACTGGCTTCCCCGTGGCATCCTTGAGCACTTGACCTTTAGCATCAATTAAAATCATCATGGATACAGCTGGTAAATATTATCTTATGGGTAATACAAACTCTTGCATAATTACCATGTTCCAACCCTCAGAGTGGAGTCCAGAAAATGGTGGGGGAAGGTTAGTCTGAGAGAGACCTGCCGCTGGTGCAGTCTGCCCTACAGCCTCGGGTGACACACACATGCACACATATGTACATGCATGCATGCCTACTACACACGTATGTATGCATGTATAGTTATGTTGTAGAAGCAACATGCATTATAAATATAACTCAAGAGTTAGAGGAAATACGCAGGTGAAGAGTTCAGATCTCAGCAAAAAAGCCCCGCTGTCTCAAAAAGATGTAATTAAAATTACATCTTTTTAGCGTGCAAAAAGCGTGCAAAACCACGCTATTTGCAGAATGAGTTTTGGAATTAGAAATATTTAGCTTCAAAAAAGCAGAGACTAGCCCTGGCTGGTGCAGCTCAGTGGACTGAGTGTGGGCCTGGGACCCAGAGGATTGAGGTTCGATTCCCAGTCAGGGCACACACCTGAGTTGCAGGCCAGTTCCCAGCAGGGGATACACAAGAGGCAACCATACATTGATATTTCTCTCCCTCTCTCCTTCCCTTCCCCTCTAAAGATAAAAAAAAAAGCAGAGACTAATAAGAGACCCAACAACCATTGCCAAATATGTGTGCGGGGGGCTTGTCACCTCGAAGAAGTGCGTTGACTTGTTTGGGTGTGGACAAAAGTGGGACCATCTGCAAAAGTCTGGGCTGAAATGGGGGAAGTTCCGTCTGGCTGCCTGGCCCAGCTCCGGCAGCTGGGCGGCCGGCCTGGGTGGAGCTGTCTGCCTGTGGGGAGGTGGGGGCGGGGCGGCTGTCCGGGTCGCCCGGCTGTGGGGCGGGGTAAAGCCTCTGTCAGGCCCGGGTTCTCTGACGACGTCATTCTATAGATACTACACAGTGCAGTCCTCCTCCTAGAACCGAGAGCAACACACCAGTACGTTGCTGCAGGTTAATCAAATATTAAAAACGTTTCCAGAGCGTACGCACCTTTCGCTGTCTCTCAACACGTCCCTCCCCTTCTTCCAGGTGTAGGTGGGCTTGGGAGCAGCTTCCGGCTTGCACTCAATGATGGCGTCACCCCCCACTCTGACCAGAGTCACCCTTTTCAAGAGGGTTCTTGAAAAATCGGGACCCGCCGCTGGAAGACAGGAAACAGTTCATTATTACGGGAGAAAACCCTGCTGAACCTCTGCGCTGCCGTGGGAGGCTTCCGCCTACGGATTTGTGAAAACAGCATTAAATGATTATTTCCTTTCTGAAAGAAAAGACACATCTGTGTCTTCATGAAAGGAATATAGAAGATACTTTCCTTTAAAACAATCTTTCTCCTGAGCTAATTGAAGTAGCCCCATGTTCTGGGACCTGTCCTGGCAGGGATCCATCTCGTAGCAGCCTAACTCCACCGTATTTAAAATCCCTGGCTCCTGGGACTCCCCTGGTGGAATTTACGGTTTCACACCATGCCGAGTCAGAGATGCAGCTGAGACCCCTCGACCCCATGCCACCTTCAGAAGGACCGGGAGGGAGTGTGTGGCTGGGGTGAGTGGCGGTGGGGAAAACGGGCACCAATTTCTTACATGTGCCCCAAACATATGCTAATAATTAATAAAAACACAGACAAGCTCCGAGGGAAGCAAGTCAGGTCTTTATTCAGTGCTTCCGCTGTGAAAAGAGCTTCAGAAATTTCCTGGAAGGAAAGGATGGTGCGGAGGTTGCTTTTCAATGGGGATGCAGCCAATCCCGGGCTGGGTTTACTCCATGAAGGGGAAATGAAACCAACGAATCAGCAGGTAACTCGGTCCCTGTGCCCTGGCCTCGCGAGGAGAGGCCCGGAGTCCGAGCGCAATTCTGCAACCTGTGCAGTTAACGAGCAGAGGGCACGCCCGGCCGCCTCTCCTGTGATGCGGCCACTGCGCTCCTGGTGTCACCTGTCCTGTCGCACAATAAAAAGTCACAGGGTTACGGAGGAGATGGGGTCAGAACAGGCCCACTCTGTGTTTACGGACTAACAAAAACCATAACCGTCCTAGTAAATGTATTAGCGTGACTGAGAAGACAAGGCAGACTCTGAAGAGATACATACTTCGTAAACACAGGACTCGTGTGTGTGTGTGTGTGTGTGTGTGTGTGTGTGTGTGAAGCCAGTAAGACGGAAGGAGGGGGAGGAGGACACGGTCTCGTCAGCGGAGGGAGTGCAAACTGGAAGGACTCGGAGAAACCCCCGGCCAGCCTGGCCAGGTGGAGCCGAGACAGGGACGTGGGGAGGGCGGGCACGCGGTCGGGGGGGTCTGGCCATGCCCAGCTTTACGGACGCCAGGATCGGCTCTGCGTCTGGTCGCTTTGGCCAGGGGGACGCCAGAACAAGGCCCCTCCCCTCGGCCCCCCAGGTGCGGACCCCATGCGAGCTAAGCTGCAACGCAGAACAGACTCATTCTCATTTTAGGTAAATGCCTGAACTGACACATTAAGATTGGAAAAAATCAGGTCCCTAGAAGTGTTTTCAAAAGGGTGTTTTATGAAGAAGAGTTAGGAATTCGCACCACATAGAACTCCCTTCTTCGAACCCCACCTTTCCACACGCAGATTTCTGTCACCGGGGGCCGCCACCCCCTCCGTGCTGCAGCCTTCTGCGGTGACTCCGAAAGGAGTTCACGTAAATCAGACCCTGCACGACACACGGGCGGATGGGTCACGGAACTGCACGCTGCTTCCCTGGGTTTCCACACAGCATGGCAGCAGCCACGCGGGGCAGAGGGTACTTGCTCCCGCCACACCACGTGTGTGCACGCCACCCTTCGGGCATCTTAGAGACAGGACTGGCTTTGAACACCCTGCACTAATACGGTGGAATGACAGACTCTAGTCTTTCCCTGTGTTTTCCTAACCTGCTCCCTTTACTGTCCGTGTGGTCGGACCCTGCCCATTGGCCGGCTCTGCTGCAGAATACCTGGCTGGGAGCAGGTTCCTTAAGGTTCTGCCACTCTGTGAATCTGTTTGCGTCCGGGATGCTGTTAAGCTTGTGGGGTGACGTCTGGCCCCCCCGGACCCCACGCTGACTCTGATGCCCAGACGCGGGCCCAAGAGAAGCCTGACGGAAAGGCAGAAGGAGCCGTTCAACTTGGCATTCACCGTGGAGAAGGGGGCTTCCTGTACACTGGGAGGCTCCCCAGTGGGGCCCCGTCAGGCCCTGACCCTGGGTGGCTCGTAAAAGAACAAGCGTGCGTGGAAGCCAAAGCTTCAGTAGGTCCCCAACAGCTGGGAAAAGATAGAGCCGATGGTCCCGTTGCCCAGTGGGGTCTGCAGGCCGCTCGGACACTGGGGCAGCCTCACATGCCAACCCTGACGACCTCAGGGAACAGTACAGGTGGGGCACAAAGCGGGTTTGCAGTTGGGTGCGAAATGCAGAGTTTATCCTCGTGCTAGTAATTACTCATTACTGCTTTTGCCCTGCCCTGTATTTTCTGCATGAGCCCCTAGAGGGCGCTGTTCTCCCGCGTTGGACCCAGCCGTGCCCTCCGAGCGGAGAGTGCCTTTTCACTATTTATCGAGGATTTAAACACGTCCTACACGGCGTTATCTATCAGATGCTTCTGGCGAAGAGAGCCCTCATGCAACCCTCCACTGTTTGCTTTTGCCTAATTACATGACTCCTGGTGACATGTCGAGGGTATTTTAAGTGGCCGGCAGGACCCTTGACCACACGGTTTTCTGCCTTCCTGTCCGTTCTCCAGACACGGTGACAGTGACACTTCTTGACGGGAGCCACGGTGACTCTCTGCTCCTCCGGGGGAAGGATAATTCGGACAGCGGGTCGCTTGCCCCCGGGCCACCCCACACTGCCGGTGGGCGACGGGAGGCTGGCTCTGCAGGATTCAGAGCCTCGCGCCCCTTCAGCCTGCATCTCTGGTCTGTAACCATCCCTCGGCCTTCCGTCAAAAACCACCCGGGCCGAACGCGCTCGTCACAACTCGCCCTCCCCTGGGGCATGACGCTGGCACCGACTTTGACCCCGAACCCCTCCTGGCTCGCTGGGGAGACGACGGAGGGCTGCCTGCAGAGGACACACTTTTCTCTCTGGGCCCGACGACGGACTCAAAGTGAGCCCTCTCTGGCCGAGGGTGGGGGACCCAGGAGGGGCGGCTAAACCCGAGGCCGGGCCTCTCTGCTCTGACATCAGCGCCGCGTGTCCCCTCGGAGCCCTCTCGCCCCGGCCCTGCCCGTCGGGTCCCGGCTGCGGAATGCCTGTCCCCCACGCTCCTCCGACGGCAGAGCTCACATTTACGGTGACACGGAAGTAGACGTGTTCACAGTCACAAGGTGGTTTTGGAAACTGAACGAATGGCACCTGCAGTGCCTGGTGCTGCATCTGCTCCCCTCTGCCATCCCCACCCAGGCCCCTACCACCACGGTGTCACTGGGCCTTTATGCCGAAAACGCACGAGAGCCAAAAGGTACAACTTGTTATTTACTCCTCGCCCGAGGGCAGGTTAATTGATCTTAGAGAGAGAGGGAGGGGGGGATGGGCACCGGTGAGAGAGAAACACCCACTGGTTCCCCCACATGCACCTCGACCGGGGACCCAGCCCACAGCCTTCCGGTGCGTGGGACGACGCTCTGGCCCACTGAGTCGGGGCCGGCGCGTTCTGTTTCGAACAAAGCCCCTTTTATTTTGAACTTCCAGGCTCACGGGAAGTTGCAAAGACGATGCAGAGGGAGGTGCCGTGTGGGCCGGTCCACACGGCCTCATCGCGGGCAGACGCAGTCTGTGCACAGACCTCGCCATCGTGAGGAGGAGTTCTCCCCGGCTGCCCCTTTGGCCGCATCCTCCCCGCACCAGCACACAGTCCCCGCCCCTGCGCTGTGGCGCTCCCCCCTCTTCACCCCGCCATTACATGCCCGTGGGGAGTGTTCTGTGTGGGTGCCCCCGGAAAAGCTCAAGTCTGGCGGTTCAGTCAGCGGCCTGGTCCCCGACTGAGTGGACGCAAACGCTGATGGTGACCACACACAGAACACTCGGAAAGTTACTTCTAGCCAATAAAATCCCCGACTTGACTTTTCATTCCACAGGAGATTGGGGTTTCCCGTGAGTCTAAGACTCCATATGCCTTCAAAAGTATGGAGAGAGGGCTCTGGGTGTCACCAGGGGATGGAGTGGCCCCCCGGGGACGTCTGGGAGGGCACCACACGCGAGAACCCCCATTCACGGCACAGGTGACCGCAGGAGGACAGGCCCTGGACCCGCTGCCTCGAGGGTGTGACCGGCCAGCCACCAGCCAGGACGTCCGTCTCCACGAGGCGTGCTCCGAACCAGCTGGCTCTGATGCCCTGGCCCCAGGTGACAGCCCCCGTCTGGTGAGGACATCACCTGGTGCCTGCCTCGATCCGTTACCTGCAGACGCCCCGTGTCCACCTTCAATGCCTGGACAGAACACCGGCCAGAGCGAGACCGGGCAGAGCCTGTTCCGTCTGTGCTCCTGAGCGAGCCCTCTCTGGCTCGAGGCTTTGGGGCTCTCGCCTACCGCGGAAGGGGCCTCTGTGCCAGCGCAGGGGCCTGATGCGTGGTCCCCCGAGGGAACCCACAGGGGCTTTCCTTCCCCACGAGGGAGTGTCTTGTGTTCCTCGTGGTTCTTTGCTCAATTCGACCTCACCCTGGTTCCAGGATGGGTGGTACCAACCAGCTACTTAACCCCAGAGAGTCCGGAGGTCACAGTTCTGCGAGAAGCGCAGTCACACCCCCCCCCTCCCCAGCATGCAGTTCTGAGTGGGCCAGTGTCCTCCTCCCGGTCCTGGGGACGGGCCCGCAGGGTTCATCCACTCGACTCTTGACCGCCCTTCCTTCCCCTGGAGTGTGCTAGTGTGGGTTTTTGAAGAGGAAACAGGATATTAAACAGGGAATGACTAAGCTTTCTCATTCAAGATTCTCTATAGTTGGTCCTTAATTAATTTTTCCATCTTCCTCTTTCAAACGTCAGCTCTGCGCACACGCTTTACATGCTTGAACCAAAGTTTCTGGAGAACTTTCCGAGTTCTCTGTGAGTGGATGTTTCAGGACTTCGAGCCTCTGTTTAGGCCCTTTCACCGTGACCCGGACCCTCCGGGGCTCTTTCCTGTCTGTGCAGACAAACTGCTGCCCGAGGCCCAGCGGACCCGCCCAGCCCTTGAGGCCACTCCCTCCGCTGTGGGAGGCGGGTCACCTGCTCGTACCGCCCCCTGCTCCGTCCCAGATCCACCGAGGCCGAGACCAGAGTGGGGAAAGCACCTCTCCTGCAAGCCCTCTCTCCGCCTTGGCTCCCGCTGGCTGAGCAGGAGGCGAGGAACGATCTCCCGTCAGGAATCCGTCTGGAATTAGTTCCAGTGGGAGAAGGTTCGAAGTGACCCTCTGAACACGAGGGAGCAGGAATTCCCAGCGCCCGGACCTGGGACCCTGGCGGCCGGGGTTGGGGGCACATCCGCATAGGAGCACATACACGTGTGTGTAGGAGCACATACACGTAGGAGCACATACACGCGTGTGTAGGAGCTGCACACCAAGCACCCAAAGCATCGAGAAGCGTGTCCCGGGAAGACAGGCTGGGACCCCGAAACTGAGCAGGCCGTCGGGGCCCAGGAGTCGGCTCCCTCACGGCCGCTCTCCTCTCAGGCACAACCTTCTGCCCCGGCCTGGCTGGGAAGAACTGCGCTCGGCTACGGGAGGGCTGTCAACTCGCGCTTCCAACCGTGCACGTCCTTACGTCCTCCACTCACTTTGGAAGCAGTCTCTTGTCAGCCCTCCACCCCCCAACACACCCTCCATCCCCACGGTCATGCGGCGTCTACTGAGCGGCCCCTCCGGGCGTTGTCACTGTCCTCTTCGGTCCTGAGCACTGAACGCTGGGTGGAACCAGGTGCGGCCCTACATCACGGGGAAGCTGAGGCAGCGGCAACACCCAGACCGGTGGTGGTGGCCCCCGAGCCCCTGTCCAGGGAGTTAGAAGGCCACGGACCAGACTGTGGGAGGAAGGGGTGGTGGGCCAGGGTGACTTCTGGAGAGTGGGGAGGGGGGACCGGGATGGAGTGAATGGAGTCGGGGGCCAGGAAAGGTGTTTCAGGTGGAAGGAACAGCACATGCGGGGGCCGTGGGGCAGGGAGGGGGTGGCTCTGACCTGCAGAGCAGACAGGTCAGCGTGGCAGAAGGGCAGCGCCCAGAAACTTCGGACGTGGGGGACCGCGCCTCACCAGCTGGTCCCCCCACAGACCTGGCCAGGCCTCGCCCGGCTGGGCTTCACTCCAGATCAGAGGGTGGGCAATGGGCTGAAGTGGCTCGGACACTTGGCTCGGGTTGGAGGAGAGGTCGGTCGACGGGGGGAGTGGGAGCGGGAGCCCAGGGATGTGTGTCCAAGGTCGGGGTGGGGGGGGCTCAGGGAGGGTCTGTGGGAAGTGTCCCTCGTCTCTGCAGTGGCACCTTCTGCCCAAAGACTTCTTTACCGCTCTGCTTGAGCTCAGCGATTTTAGTCGGCGAAGCCCAGGTTACACTCGTGACTTGAGGAGTTTCTACTCTTTTCTTTGCAGCGTGGAGACTCACCTACAACGCCGAGCTCCGCGCTGGAGAAGATGGCACCGTGTCTGTTCTCCGCCACGCACTGGTACATGCCGGCGTCCGACAGGCTCGCCGCCGTGAGGTTGAGTGTCCCTTGCTCGATATGAATTCTGTCCTGTGGAGGGAAAGAGGGACACAAAACAGACTCTCTGCAACTGAGACCGCGGGCAATTCTGCTACATGTTATAGCAAAGGGCCTTAATGGGAAGAAAATAGCCCTCATACAAGCAATTTTCATAACATGATCTATTTATCTGTCAACTAAATTTGTGGCAGGTCAGATGCTGAATGGAACAACCCATACATCAATTGGAAAATGGAATTTAAATTGTAGGACTCTCTTGAGTTCTCATTGATTTAACAGTGAAAGCATTCAGATTAATATCTCTGTGGAATAGACGAACTTAACATTTTGGATGCTTTTTTACTCGAAGGCTCCTTGCTGCCTGGGGGTGGGTGGGGAGTGGGGATGCAGCCAAAAGGACTGGTGATTGTGTTTAAAACACCCTGGGGACGAGCCGGCCACCCTGGGGAGGTGGGTTGGGTCAGACTGTGATCGCCTTGGAAGAGGCGGCGAAGTCTTTGCTGTGGGTTCAGTTCACTAAAACCCAGCAGGTGTGAGGACTCACTGTCCCCTTCCCCTGTGGCCGAGGGCCCTGTGTGGCAGCGGCTGAAGAAGGAGAGTCAGCGATGGGCACAGGACCCTGAGGACGCGGAGCTCACGTCACCCACAGCCTGAGCACCAGGAGAGACCCCGCCCCCCCGGACCCACCACCGAGAAAGTGATGTGCGGGAGGGCGCCCTGGCGCTGTGTTTGCCTCGGGGAGACGCTGAGCTGGGCTGACACCCTTGGGGCTCCAGTCAAATCCGTGCCCCGTGCCCCTCATGTTGAACGGAAGGAGGAACCGGCAGTCTGGCCTCTAGAACTGAGCGAGTGGCGTGCTGGCCGGGCCCGGGCGGTGTGGGTGCCGGGCGTGGGCCAGGCCTGACCTCCAGGTGCCGCCTCCAGGGCCTGTCTGCAGTGGTGGCCGTGACCTCTCTGCCAGGGTCCAGCACAGGCCCTGCCCTGGGGGTCCTGTGCCTGGGGCACTGGCTCTCCCTGGGGTCTGAGGAAAAGGCCAAATTTCAGTTGACATTTGAGTGCAGCAGGAATGTACAATAAGGAAAATGAAAGTGGACACGATGGTTCCTTGTCCTGAGGCCCCCCATCCTCCCCGGGTCCATTCCGAGTTCCTTCCCAGGGTCCGCTTCACAGGGTGGACGCTCCTGGACCAGGTCAAGGCCCTTCTCTCAGCGCGCCCTGGGGTGCAGCTTCCAGGGACCCCTTTCAGCACTGGGGTGCTCTTCTCCCAGCCCTGCTCTCTCTGGAAGCTGCCCATAGCTGGAGGAATGTCCCAAATGCGAGGACTGGTCAAGGTGGGCAGGCCAAGGCGGAGCCTCCTTGCCCATCTGCTCCAGGGCGCCCTCTGGAGGCCTGCACCGCGGGCTCTGCCCCCTCCCTGGGCTCACCTGGCTCCCAGAGCAGCCTGGTGGGCCCTCTGCGCCACCCCCACGCCTCACTGTCTGTTTTCAGGAAACCCAAAGGTGGGGAGCGCTTTTCAGGGAGCACTCAATGCTTTTCTTCTCTTAAGGCCACAGCTCTCCCCCCTGGGCCCTTCTCCTTGGAAGGCTTCCCCCAACCCATTCTGAAGGGGGTCCTCAGGCAAACTCGGCGCTCCGAGCCCAGGGGACTCTGAACCTTTGGATCTCGGCTCCGCCCCTGACAAAGGACGGGCGCCCGGGTGAACTGTTAGGTTATGTCCCTCTTACAGACGACAGGGTGTCCTGGTCCGTCAAGGGGAGAGACGGCGCGCACCCCTCACCCCTCCGAGAAGGGCCGACAGGACAGGGGAACGGCAGGCCGGCGTCTGTCCAGACAGAAGCGTGCCCCCCAGACCCTCCGTGAACATCGTTAGAACCCATCATGTTTCCTCACAAATGAACGGTCTGGGCAGAGTTTTTATTTCCTGGGTAGATGTTTCTAAGATTCTACTTGGTCTTTTAAAAGATTTATCTGCTTATCTTTTCAAAATATCTTGTTTATTTTTATGGAAATGGTTTCTTCATTTATCTCTTGGAGCACTGCAAACCGACAACTCTCTCTGTTAGACTGTTCTTTACATTCGTTATCTCTCTGAAACATAAATTCTGCATATGGTTTGGGATGCTGGTTTGCAGGCTTGTTCTCAGAAAGATTTATGTTCGTGTGTTTGTCTTTCCCCGGTTGTCATGTGTGGCTGTCACGGCCTCTCTGGGCCCCGACCTGCCGGGGCGTGGGGACTGTCGCCGCTCCTGTCCCAGGGGTGGGGTGGGGGAGCGTGGCCCAGGGCTGACCGCCCCTCTTTCTGGGCACACCCGACATTTCCCAGATTCCTTTGCGGCTAGAGGAAACCGTGTGTCTACGTCTCAGAGTCCTGCCAGCCGGACAGCAGACTGGCCGCTTGTCTCAGTGGGCAGCAGTGGACGTGGGGCGGGGTGTACACCCCGAGCCTGAGCTCCAGAATTACTATTGTGTCCTATTTCTTGAGAGGAACCTTCACCGCTGAGCTCCCAGCTGCCCCTGCCTGTCCCCAGGCCTCCAGCGCCCATCACCACTGCCCGGCTGTGTTCTATTTGTGTGGCACTGGAGACCCTTGTCCTGGGTTGGTCTGTCATCTGTGCCTGTCGGAGGCCAAGGGGTGCCTGCCTGGTGGCCGTGCACTGAACGGCGTGGTTCAGACACCTCACTGAGAGGAATAACAAGGCCGCACGCCCTGGGGAGTGCAGACTTCTAGAGAGGCCTCGCTTACTCTCGTCCCCGAGCACACAGATCTCTACCTCGGTGCAAGCCTGCGTCCTGGGCTGTCCCCACACCCCCCACTGTGAGGCCAGAGAGCTGATCTGGGAAGCCCGGGATCTGGCAGAGAAGCCCACGAGCGGGGCTCTCGGGCCCCGTTTATCAAGCACATTCACTTCCACGTTTCCACCAGGAATGGCATCGGGGTGCCCATTATTTTAGCAATGCCTCGCCATTTTCCTGTTTCCATGGCAACGAGGCCACATTAGGCGCGGCAGTCGTCGCCCAGACGCAGGCAGCGCCCGTTGCTTACCCGAGTGAACAGCGGGTCGCCATTTTTCAGCCACCTGTACGTGGGTCTGGGCCTGCCGCTGGCTTTGCATTCCCAGAAGACGTTTTCTTCAATGGCCACGTGGACATCGCTTATTTTTTGAATCCAATTAGGTTGAGCTATAGCAGTTCAGAAAGCAAAGAAAAGATGCACGTTCAGTGTCTGTTCCATCTATTTTTATCATGTGCGATAAGGGGCTTCTCGCACAGGAAAAGTTGGCTTCTAATAAAATTCCCTCTCCAGATGTCACGCGATTGCAAGGCTGCGTGGAGGCTCGGAGAGAGCCTCGGGAAGGCCCCGCCCCCTGCCCCACCGGAGCGCCCCCTGGAGGCCGGTCTGCTCACCGACAGAGGCGGGAGGAAGAAAGCTCACGTTAGCCGCCTGGCCAAACTGCCCGTCTCTCCCCCCAGTAGCTGTCCCTTCTTTTCCCCCTCTGTGTGGGAGAGCTACTCCACACTGCCCCACCGCTGGTGGCTGGACTCACCTTTTCCCAGCTACACACACCTGCCAGGTTACTTTGCAGCCAGAGGCGACCACGTGACCAAGCAAGTGTCTGAGGCACCTGCACCAAGTCCTGAGAGCACCTTCCAGGCTGTTCACTCAGAGATACATGCCCTGGGTACCCCTGCCGCCACCCCGTTCCACAGGTGGGAGAAGGGCAGCAACGCAAACAGCTAGGAGATGGCAGCTGTGCAGGACAGAAATGCAGGCCTGCCGGCCTGCGACCCTGAATGACCTCCAGGAGCAGTGCAGCCCTTGCCTCACCTGCCAGGTTTTGGAAAGACACGAGAGGGAGGACTCGAAATCTCTAAGCTGCAGGGCTGTCGGGCCCGCGTCACAGCAGCCACGCCCATCTCTGCCTCACACGCCTCCCCCCACGTCATACATCCCGCTCGGTGACTCTTCCCACCCATGGGACTGTCACCAACTGGACCCTTCATTATCAACCTACTCCACAGTGGTGCCCACCAGGGTGTGGCCCCAGAGCCCCCAGTCTCTGCAGGAGTCCTGATTCCTACCAGGACCTTTGCAGCAAGCCAAGCCCCGCCCACATTACCACCCCCGACACAGCCCTGTACCCCAGAAAGTCCACCCTGTTGCTCCCACTGCTCCCGAAGGCACGCTTCCCTCCCTCGTTCTCAGGGCAGGTGAGGAAGTGTTCATGCCACGTTCCAGAAAACGTCTTCATAAAGATCACGCCTTCTGCCCGGAGCACTAACGGTGCTTGGCAGACCCATTTATGGAGAAGACCCCCGGCCCGAACTCCACACGCAGGAGAGCCTTTCGATCATTCTGGAACTCTGTAGGGCGGTGCCTACCAAGGTAAACCCAAGAGTCCCAGTTGACACCAGTGTTTAATTAGAGACGCTACTCAATGTCTTTAACACAAGTTCGCTTCCGAACTCGGCCCCCAGTCTCCATTGGGCAGGGCTCCAAATTCTCCTGCCCAATGGAGACGGGGCAGGAGAATTTTGCATCCAATTGGATGCAAAAGGACTTTGCTAGGGCTGAGGCCGAACTGTCACCCTTTGTCAGTAATCAGCAACACTAGAAGAACACACCACAGATCTCTTAACCAGGGGAGGCTTCTTCCTTTACTGGAAGCAATTTCGTGTTTTTCAGAGGACAGAACACAATGTCGTGAATCCTCTACTCAGGGAAGCTTTGCTGCATAGGAGGGGAGGCCAGAAGGGTTGACTTTCAAGATAAGTGACATCAACAAGCTCTAACCCGAATGCGTGCGGACATCAACGCCTCCCTCGAGGGGGCTGCCAGCGGCCACAGTTCTAAGTCCTCTGCCGGAAACGCCGGGGAAACTCACAAAGACGTGGCCCTGTTGGCCCTGCCAGGAGGGCCGGGTACGTGGCTGCCCTGTGCCTGATGCCACGTCCCGCCTGCTGACAGTGGGCCCTGCACGGAGCCCGGGAGGACCAGGCAGAGGAGGAAAGCCCAGGACGCTCTGTGGAGTATTAACCAAGACAAACGGTTCAAGGAGAGGGAGGGAGGGAGGGAGGGAGGGAGGGAGGGAGACAGGGAAGGGCGGATGGGACATAAGACGCAGTGTCAAGTTGAAGTTCCCGAGGAGAACATCAGAGCCATGTGCAGAGGCAGAGGGGTCCCCGTCATGGACTTCTGGGGCCACCTGGGGGTGTTCATGCTTGTTTCCCAAACTGCAGAGCGTGGGCAAAAGCCTCTCGACCTGAAACAGGACACAGGCAGGGAAGGGAGGCCTGACTGGGCCTGAAAGGGCCCTCCCTCCCGAGTGCCGGCCAGTGCAACCCTGAGGAGGGCTGGCCCTGCCGCTTCCTGCAGGGCCCCACGGGTCGTGGTGCTGGACAGGAAGCTCAGTGGCCCCCATCTGCACTGGCCGAGGCGGAGTCACGAACGCCGTCCAGTGCTTCCTTTGTTTTCAAAGTGAAATGAATCCACAGCAGCCAACTTGCAGGGATAAAGACGTCCTCTGTCTGCAGGGACCGCCTGCCTGCGGGCCAGGGGTCAGGAAGGAGACAGCCTGTCATGGGAGTGGCGGAGGAGAAGGTGGCCTTTCTCCTGATGCAGCAGTGCAGCCCTAGGGGGCCTCGGCCGGCACTGGGTGTGCCACCCGCTCGGAGGGCTGAGTCACAGCATGCGGGCAAGCTTCGGTGCTGAGGTCAGACTCCGCCCCTGACGGAAATTGCTCCCATCTCTGTCTCTCCTCGGGTCGCCCCGTCCCAAGTCCCTGGGTAACCGACGCGGCACTCTGGTGCCTGACGGGAAACGCTGTTCCCGTTTTTCATGATGCCTGTGGGTCTCCGGTGTTCACCACTCAATACCTAGGCTATATTTTGCGACTCCACGCCTAGATAAAATCTCCAGGGAAGGCCTGGACTGGTTGGCTCAGCACCTTTATTTCAGAAAGGTTAGGTCTAAACACCGTTTTGGGCAGTATATGAGCTCCCACCTACTGAACAGAATCAATCACGTTAAAGCAGAGCCCTCTATTTTGGCTATTCCTGTTCTTTCAGGGCTTGAAACTGGAGAGCCCCTCCGCTGAAGTGTTTTCAGCTTTGTTCTCAAGCCGCAGACAGGAGGTGACTGGCTGTACTGAGCTTGACCCCGTGACGCCGTGAGGCTCTCAGACAGATGAACGGTCTCTTCACTTCCATCTCCTGTTTGATTAGCTGCCTGGAAGTGATGCAGATCCACGCGTGTGCTGGACGCCGCCACTGCAGTCCTGTCGGTAACGACTTCCGCCGAAGACAGACGTGGCCCAAACTCGGCGGCCAGACCCTTCGCAGAGTCTCCCACTCGCCGAGTCTCCCCAAACGGAAATCTCTAACAGGAACGAATGCCCTCACGGGCCTGGGAACTCAGCAACGGACACAAGTGACGGGAGAGGACAGGACCGGAGGGAGCACTGACGCAGTGTGACCTCGGTGGCCGCAGTCGGGCAGGGAGATGCCCAGGACTCAAGTGCCCGGAAAGGACAAGCATCGGCTCTGGGGAACTCGGGGTCCGGCGAACGTTGCTTAACAAGTTTCTAGGTAATGGTGTCATGAGCCCGGAGGTAACTGCGTGGCTTCAGTTTCCCAGCTGTCACGCAGGTGCTCCCCAGTCTTTATCTCCTGTCTCAGAGTCACTGAGATGTCCTTCACACCCCTCCCTGAACCGTTCTCCGCCTGCCGACTTTGCTGTACGCAGCCAGCCTTCCTGGGCATTGCCACAGTCTGTCTCCCCCTTGCAGGAGCCACTCAAAGGAGGGACCAGCTGTCCCCACATCTGATCTTTGTCCCCCACCACGCCGCCGACTTCAGACTGTCATCTGCTCCACACACACCGGCAGCCGCATCCGAAGCAGGGTTCCGACTTCATTCTCCGAAGCTCTGAGGCTTCCTGCTCCTTCCACCAAGGACGCCTGGCTTTGTTTTAAATACTGAGAATTTCATACAAAAAATCAACTTGATGATTAAACAACACAGCACTTTGAAAACTACGCAGCTGGGACACCCGATGGGATCGTGTTGCAGGACTGACTTCGGCCCTGAACTCTCCTAAGGCCTCTTCACCTCTTGGCGAAGTTCCTCTGCGTTTCTGCTCCTGGAAGGGGAAGGGGGGGTGCCCCCGGGCCGAACACCCACAGACACAGACGGCGATCGCTGCATGAAATATAAAGGTGGAACCACAGGAAGGCACAGGCCGGGGTCAACCCAAGGCAGGGCCAGTCCGGTCAACGGGAATCTGTGAATGAAGGACACGGACCCGACAGCAGGAAGGAAGCCGAGTGAGCGGCAACGCACAGGCCTGGGCAGGGTGCTGGCCAGCTGTAAAGGCTCCGTTAGAGACCATCTCTGTCATCTCGGGTTTGAGGCTGATGCTTCACTAGTCTGCCGCCTGGCCCCGCCCGATCCTCTCGTGTCTCTACTAGGGCGCCCGGCAAACCCGCGGCCCCTGCCAAGTAAGGTCTTCTTTGTCCTCACACCCAAGAAGCCAGTTACTGCCTCTTCCCTCCTTCACACATATCCTGTCTTTTTGGAATGTTCTCCTCACCTCCGTCTCTTCACCAGGCTTCACTCGGCAGAAACTCCTCCCCCGTGAAGCCCTCCCTGATCCACCCACTGCAAGCCACCCGAGTGCCGCATTCTATACAAACGGCACAGCTGTTCTGTGCCCTCGCTTTACAGTCCAGTTTAACTCTTGTTGAACCCGTTTCCATAAGAAAACACATTTCTCTTCCCTCATGTACTGGCGTCAATCCAGGACTTTGGGAATGATGGATGGGATAAAAAGAATGGGAAATCAGAAATATACTCATTAAAAAAGGCCTCCTCAAGGCTGGTTCCCTAAACCCACGTCTACCCAAATAAACCAAGCTGTTACTCTGGTCTTGCGTGATTAATTTCTTCAATTTATTTTCAATCCTCAACTCAGTCACTGCGCAACGTCACTCTCAGTCTGCTCTTACCGGGTTAAACCCACCCCTTTCTCCTCCTGCCCACGTTCTGAGCAAAACGCCGTCCACTGCAGGCCCAGTGGACTCATGGCTGACCTCATCGGCATCACTCCGCGTGTGTGGTTTCTCAACCTCCTAGTGACCTGCGTGGCAAATGGCATCGGCCCGGTTTTGTAGGTGAGGCCCAGAGACACGCGGCCGGATGCAGAGAGGGGCTCAGTCAGGCCTGACACACCGGCCTGCTCCACACTGACCTCCAAACTCTGCCTACCGGCTCTCAAAATGCGCCCACCCCTCCCACCGAGTGCGACGGGACACAGTCTCCGGACCCAAGGCTCTGGGAGCAGCACCTAAGGACTGCCATGCCCCCCGAGTCTCCTGTAGGGGCCGGAGAGATCCCTTTGTTCCGGCCACAGGTCCGTGGGAGGCCAGAGCCGCCCCACGCACGCCGGCCAGAACACGCCAGGCTGTACCGAGTGTGGAGGTGTGTGCCAGAATCCGCTTCCTCCCCAGGTCAAACTGTGGAAGAGAGTCTCAAAGACATAAACAATGAATGTCCCTCTTCTCATCAAACGCAATTTGTTTGGAATACAGTTTTCTTAAGACTATGAAATTATGTTCGCATGTACCGGTTTTATTACGGTAATTTCAAAATTTAAAAAGCACTAAACTTCTCGGCTCTAATTTCTAACGTGGGAAGCACTGGGAGGCACAGCCCACTTGGGTGAAAATTCGTTGGAATATTTAATACCCTTTAAGGGATGAAAGTGACCCCGAAAGCACAGGTTGGAGAAGTCCCGCTGTGGACAGGCACGGGGGCGTTGGGGAAACGGACCCCTGGACACAGCTTGCTGCAGGCTCTGTTCCCGGGGGGGCGAGAGGAGCAACAGGGTCACCACCGTCCGGGCAGAACTGGCCACAGGCACTGAGCTGCGTCTCCTCGGCTTCCTCCCCGGGCCGAGTGTTCCAGCCGTCAGAACCTTGGTCCTCCCTCCAGTCCCACTGCACACGGGCCGTGCTTCGCCTGTCCCCAAGGGCAGCCTGAAATGCCACCGCGACCCTCTTTACTGGGAGCACAGCAGGAAGGGAAGGGAACCACAGCCGTGGACTTTACCTTCAGTGCCGCTCCGGGAAACTGAGGGTCTCAGCACCAGCTCTGTCTGGGACACTCAAACAGACTGTCGATGGCTCTACTGCGGTGCCGCCTTTTCCGCTGGGGTCAGGTGGGGATCACTGTCCTTTCAGCTGCTCCGCAGGGCTGAATGTTACTGCACGGTCACACACACAGCCCCTGCACAGCACGTGGGGTGCGATCAACTTCAGACACCCTCCAGAGCCAGCTGCACTGTCATCCAGCCCCCAGTCCCGCCGTGGGGCCAGGGGACGCGGTGCCCGAGGTCACACACACACCCAGGGACAGAGCTTGGAGGGGAGACTCGCAGCAGCTCCTTGGAGTCCACAGTCAGGTGAAGTTAGAGAACAGGAAGTGAACAAGTCGATTCCTCCCCTGGATGGTTTCGTTTACGACGCGGCCGTGGAAAGGGTGCAGAAAGGCCTCCGGGTGACAGAGAGGCGTGTTCCGTGCTTGTTCCACTGCAATGTGCTCCCGGCAGGAAAAGCGGCTCGTGGCGCGTGGCAACAGACTGGGCAGCTCCGGTCAGAGCTGCGACCCCTCCCGTGACCGAGGTGAACCGCTTGTGTCTCTTATTTTCTCAACTTGCAGCAATCAAAGGGTTGGCCCCAGCGGTTCCCTCCAGGTCAGACATTAGAGGGGACACGGCTTTGTCTGCTGCTCAGACACCAGGCCCCCCATTTCCTAGTGGGGAGGGGGTGTTAACCCTTAACACCTGTGACGGAGAGAAAACCCTCCAAGAGGCATTAACTCTCAGCCCCCCTCAGTTCACACTTCGTCCTTCTAAACGACGACTGTGATTCTCTTGGACTATTTGTGCAAAAAGGACGTACCTGCCCAGGCACAGGAGGTGGAGACGTGAGTGACTGTCAAGTGGATTAAATCCCTTCCTCAGAGACACCTGCGCGGCCCCTTCCCCGTCCACACGGGCTGCCTCTGCTGCCTGACCGGGCAGGTGGCTGCTGCTGGGCCTTCCCGGCTGGGCATCGGTGCCCTGGGAGGGCGCTGACGGGACTAAGCCCTTCCCTGCTCCACAGCCTGGGGGGCTCCCGCTGTTCTCGGAACGAGACCAAACTCTGCCTGGCCTGCGTGGTCCTGCATCGCCCGGCACCCTCCGGGCCTCCTCGGTCGGAGCCTCTGCACCTCCTCACCCCTGCCTGGGACGTCCCCCCGGAAGGCCGGCCCTCACTCCCCCTTTCCAGGTCGGCTCTGAGGCCGGCTCCAGACCAGGCTCTGGGCTCCTGGGCTCCAGAAGCCGGTGCTTTTCTACCTGATCCGCGTGATCACTGTCTTCACAATTCTTATCCCAGCGGAAAGCTTCCTAGTTCATTCATTTGCTTCAGAGTGTGTTGTCTGTCAGCTTCTGGTAAAACAGAGCCCCCCGGGGGGGCCTTGCCTTGCTGCCCTCGCACCCCACACTGCCCACCCCTGGGAGGAGATGAACAAAGTGTCCAACTAATGAGTAATACATTACAATTGTTTTGGAAAATTTCGGCCTTTAGCAAAAAGATCTGTAGTATTTTACCCCTCGAAATATACAGGTCTATTTTTAGGAAGTTTCTGTGCTGAAAAATGTCTGAAAGAGCAGGTTAAAACTAGACCGCCGTGGTCAAGTACAGGTCATGGCCCAGGGAAACTGGGAAGTGGGGGGAGGGAGGAGTGTTTTGAGTCTGAACTAGTCTCACTCTGCACACGGGTCGCAAACAGAACCAGCGCTCGCCAACCGGAAGGCACAGCCGGCAGGAACACACCCACCGGCCCGGGGCTCTGTCGTTCGGACACGGTGGGGACAGGAGCCAGGCGGGCCTTCGGGGCCAGTTCAGCTGGCCTGCGAGCGAGGAGGGGAGCTGCGGCTTTGGACAGGTGAGCAGAAGCCCACACGCCTGGGGGTGCAGGGGTGGGGAGGACGGACGCCTGGAGCGCAACCACTGGGACCCGGAGGAGAAGCCGGTGTCTAAGCTGGAGCCTGTGGTCTGTAGTCCCTGGGCACAGTCCCTCCCCCCGTTGTCAGAAACTCTCCTGTCCCCACAGCGGGCAGGCTCAGGATAAGTGGCTGCAGTTCCCTCCGTGATCCACGCAGTGACCCGAGTTATAATGACCCCTTTCAGCTGGACGTTAGGAACACAGCACCGGGAAACCCGACAGAGACCGAAGACACCTGGACTGCCAGGCACCTCACAATGCAGTCACCTCCGTGCCACTGACGCTGGCTGGGCGGAGGGCACCAAAAGAACGAGCACAGGCACCGTGGCCTCGGGCCGGGCTTCCGGCTCCGAGGTGCTGGCTGCTGAGCAAAAGGCCGAGCTGCCACCAGAACGCAGGCCAGAGCGTCTGCCTCCTCCCCGCACGACACAGAAGACTCCCTGTGAGGAGGGGGAGACACTGACCGCCCGACCTTCATCTAAAGTCGGGTTGCGGGACAAACACCCTCCTACAGCAGGCCGGGCTGGTGGGGGAGGGAGATGCCCAGAATGACCTCTAGAGAATTCTGTTCCCAGGGAGGGGGGCTGACCCACGGGAAGCCACGGTGCCGACGCCTGGTGACGGAGAACTTCATGCTTCCCTGTCATAGTGTAAGCAGAGATCTCAGTTAAGAAAACCGTGAAAGTGAAAATGACCGTGGACGATCAGTTGAGGGACTCCAGCAACACAGGGACAGCCGGTGCTGAGCTGGAAAGTGCGCTCAACTAGTAACAAAAGAAAGCATCGCTGGCCATTTACCAGACTGTTTTCCCGCCGTCCCTACCTGATGCAAGAAATAACAGTCGCACTGGCAAAAAGAAAGCACCCTGCGCACTTTAAAAAGACGGCCGCGGGGTCTCCCGGACAAGCCTGCGGGCTCCAGCCTCGCGTTTCCCAGCCCGTGAGCCCTGGTGTCTCTCGCTCTTCAACCAGCTGAGTCAGGTGCCAACGACCACGGCTTTGGAAAGTGCCAATTTCCCTTCCGTCGAGTCTGTCCTTCGTCCAGGGTGGCTTCAGCCCTCACGGTTGCTGAGCGAAGCCGAGCGGTTAAGGAGGATCAGGGGTGTGTCCGGCAACAGGCGGTGTGAGCACTTCCGAGGTCGGCCTGTGCTCTCCCGACCCCCTGCCCTGGGCCCCCTGTGGGGAGTCTGTGAGGCCAGGGTGCTGAGGGTCCCATGGAACAGGTCATGGAAGGTTAGCTGACGATTGAAAACTGCACCCAGCTTACAGTCATGTGTCTAAAACACCGTCTGTGGCTATGGACTTAACCTCTCAGGCCGTAAACCCTAAAGCCAGAGGCTTGGGAAGAAAACCTGGTGAAACAGCAGACTTTTGTGTATCAGGGACTGCGGGAAATGAGGGCATTTGTGGGTTTGGCTCACCCCTCCGAACAGTGCTCCTCACGGTGATACAGCTGGTGTTTGTCTGACCACTCTGGAATGATCACCGATCGACAGCATCTATTTCCAATGGCCCGGCCACGTGGGGATCAGGCATGTCCCCACTCGGAAGAATGCAGGGCCCACCGGAAGGTTCCCTTCCTGGGTTCCCATGCCGACCTGAGCGACTCGCACATGCTGGGGGCTACATTTCCATGGCACCTGGGTCAGCACCGAGGGTCTGGTTGGAATCGGGGCAGCTGCACCTACCGCCCTTGGGGGTGGCAGCTTCGTCACGCCCCACTCGGATCAGAATGGAATCTGGGCAGTGTGCATTTCAAAATGTTCATGAAATTTCAAGCAAAGAAGAGATATGACAAAGGATGAACATGAGCCCCAAATCTAAACCCGAATGAAGCCAAGCACAGAGCTTTAAAAACAAACAAACAAACAAACAAACCAACCAGGAGGAAGAAAACACAAGTTTCCCACATCTGGTAGCGGCTCCTTTGCGCCTGTGTTCACATTTCTTCCCGTCTGCCGGGTCACCCTCGTGGGTCCCTCCCTCCCCACATCCAGAGCTTCCTGGGGTTCACACAGGCCTGCTGGGCACCATCCTTCCCGAAAGGCTGATGGCAACCCCCCAGCCCACGACTCAAAGCCCAAGAAGGCCCACAGACGACCCGCCACCGTCGGGTACTCACCGTAGAAAGTCAGCTGCCCCCTCGCCACGTTTTTCCCCCTGGAGTTCTCAGCCACGCACTCGTACAGCCCGGCGTCCTCCTGCTGGAAGTTGGGGATCTCGAGGACCCCGCTGGACTGGTGTCTCCTGGCCTTCCTGGCCACCGGCTTTCCGTCCGCTCGCCTCCAGGTGATGGTGGGCACTGGGCTGGCGGCGAGAGGGGAAGCAGGGAATGGGACGGGAGAAACCGCACCTTGGACTTGAGCTGTGCCCCACAGGCAGGACCCCGCCCTTCTCAGGTCTAGACAGAAACGCCTGCCTCCTACGGCGTGCCCCGAAGGTCACACACACACACACACACACACACACACGGTTTCATCCAGACCCACATATCTAGTGTTGTCTGGTCCTTACTGCTTGTTAAAATCAGAACCTTTCCTGGGCTCGAGTGCTGTGATCTGTCCTCTACGTGATACCCGTAAAGCAGAGACCCTCAGACAGAAGCCGGCCCCTGCCTCCCGTCAAAGCAGAGGGAAGAGACCGGCGATTCAAAAAGAAACTCGGGAGAAGCTGGGCTCACGGGCGCACCCTGGGGAACCGGGGCTGGAATGAAGTCCCTGGTTTTCCAAATAGTCAGCCTGACTCTACCTCAGTGAAGGTCCCTGTCTCCCCATCGCCCTGGGCTGGACAGTGAGTGCACTGCAGGTCTGAACAAGGGGGACAAGGACATTTCGGACCTGCCCATCCTCCCTCCTCTCTGGCCACGTCAGGGGTGGCCTGAGCCTCCTGGGCCCCTGCAGGTCCCCTCTCTTTGCGAGAGGACAAACTGGCAGGTTTACAAAGAGGGAGGCTTGCTCTCTGGTCCCCTCAGAACCCACCGCTGCCTCCAGGCAGTGCGAGTCCTCCTCCGCCCAGAGGGAGGAAGCGAGGGGAGGGTGGGACTTACTTGCCCAGGGCGAAGCACTCCAGCCTGGCGGTGGCGCCTTTGGCGGTGGGGACCGTGTCTGGGAACTGCACCTCGATTTTGGGCTCATACTCGCCCATCACCCCTGTGAATAGAGACAAGGAGGCTTTTAAAACACATGAAGTCTTTTCCTGTTAACGTTGTTGGCAGCTCCCACCTGCCACTGTGGGGCTCGCACGTCTGAACTGGTCCCACTGCCCTGCCTGTGGCCCTGGCTCCACCCAGGCCACAGCTGGAGGAACCTGTCCCAGCACCACGCCACCTGCTGGTGTCGATTCTCCGTGCACTCAGCTTTGCGTCTCAGAAGAACTTTTTTTTGTTAGTCACAAAAGAAAAATAGGAAGGAGATAAAGTCTTAGTCACCCGGAACATCAAATACATTCTGTTTTTTGGAAATACACTGCAGAAAAAATTTAAATGCTCAAAAAATACTTGCATACTTTATTCTATATAAGAAAGAACATTTCTGAGTAATCAGTTTGTGCCTGCAAATTACTTTCTTTTACATCCAAGCTAATCTGAATTAATAAAAAATTAGTACATGCAAAGGAACATCAAATGTTAGGGCTTTTATTACATTCTGCAACAATCTGAAAAGAATAATAGGAAACAAACATAGAAAACAACCTTTGAGTTACAGCCACTTGGCCAAGGGCACGCTGACCTTGAAGGCCATAATCTCCCACTGTTCCCTACCTGAAAAGTGACTCTACAATCATGACCGAGTAACACGACCTAACACACACAGTCCATGGTCTGTGAGGAAGTGCTTCATGCTCTCTCATCGGGACGCCCTTGACCTTGCCCACGCTGCTTCACAATGTGCGTTTCTGTTCTGTTTCTAGTCATTGTCCGAGGCTCTGGCTAGCAGCGCCTGCAGGCAGTTTGGAAGTACACTAAAAAACGACAGGGTCCCCTCCTCTTCCACCTGTGGACTGTCCCCAGGCAGGGGCAGGAGAGATGGAGGAGTCAGAGGACAGAAGGGGACGGGTCCAGTGACAGAGACAGGACTTCACGTGTTTTGCACCTGTGGTTCTTTTGCATCTGCATTTTCAGAGCCTGGGAAATAGAAGCAGGGTCTTGTCCACGTGTGAAGACCCACCCTGATGGTGGGGGGCACGGCCGTCACTTGGAGGTGTGACGTCAGAAGTGGCAGGTTGAACAGAGCTGTCTGTTTACTTCCTTCCACGGGAGGGCGGGGCCTTTCGAGACCGCAGCTCAGCGTCTGAGCCCTGGCACTCGGGGTGTGCCCTTCCACACCGTGGCTCGACCCTGTGCTCGCTGCTCTGGAAGACGCTCCCCCCACACTCGGACCACAGCCCCAGCCTGTCCCTGCCTTCTCCAAGCAGGCTGTCCTCCCCGCGGGGTCACACAGGGTGTCTTCAGTCTCGCAACAATCTGGTCGGTGTCCAAGTCCCCAACTGCGCTCCCCTCCCTACCCCAAAACTAGACCGAGACTCCCTGCATCCACTCAGACGCGGTCAGACACAGAGCCACGCCCCTCTCGGGTTTCTGGCACGAGAGTTGGGTTCGCCTTCCTCCGGCCCTTTTCCAAACCGCTGGGATTCCCACGCAGGCACTGAACTTGCTACCAATGGCCGTGCACTTGGATCCTCAGCCCACAGATCAGATGAGTGGCTCTGGGCACTGGAAGGAGGTGACGCCTTGGAGGGCTGTGCAGAGAGCAGTGCTGACTAAAACGGGGCCTTGAGAGAGGGGGTCTGCGTCCCCCCGAGACACGCACACAGCTGCACTGCGGCAGGTGGGGTGCGAGGGGCGGGCTGTCCTGCTGGGAACGAACCCGGGTTCTGCTCCCGCCTCTGCTGCCTGCAAACACTACACAGGAGTCGGGCTTCTTTACTCCAGCCGCGGCGGATCACCGCGGGGCCAGCGCATCATCTCCCACACCTTGTCCCGAGCTCCCGAAACAGGGCTGCCATGCTGCCTCCGGGCCCCCGATCCCCAAGGCTGTTCCCTGCCCCCCCAAGTCCAGCTGTGAAGGCCCCGACTCCAAGTCTGCTCCTCCGGGACCCTTCGCTGCCCTGGCCCCCAAGCCCTCCTCTCCAGCCCAGGGTCCTTCAACGACCAGCAGGTATCAGAGCTTCTTTGCCCGGATCTCACTCTCACCCAGCATTTCTTCAAAAACATGTTTATTGAGGTAGAATTCATGTACCAAAAAGCGGACCCATTAGACATGACCAATTCCATGACATCCAGTAAACTTAACGAGCTGGGCCGCTGACCCCGTAACGCAGGGGTGACGTCGTGCCTGTACTGCCAGGGACAGTCGGCTGCGTGTGAACTGGGGGACAGCGTGCTAACCGTTTCCGGTTTGGGCAGTTCACATAAGGTCGTCTTCTTCCAGGTGAGAGAAAGCCGACTTCTGTCCTCCACTAGGGGGCGTTTCTGCGCCCCCCTCCCACCGACCGGTTCTGCACAGTGAGCGGAGTCCAGTGCTCTCTCCAACTCACGCGTGTCGCCCGAGTCCAGGCGGTCAGAGCCACGGAGAGCAGGACACAAGGCGGTCTCCGGATAGTTAAAGACACCCTGTGCTCGGGGACTGGGAAGGTTTTCCATGAAGGGACACGTGGCAATGGTTTTATCGAGACTTCGTGACTTTCACAGACTCCTTCAGAGCTCGGCTCTGTCACTGCCACTGGGAGGTGACCACAGACAATGTGTAGGAGAAAATGACTACGTTCCAACGAAGCCTCAGTGACAAAAATGGCGGTGGCGGGCCAAGTGGGCCCCAGCTGAGAGGAAGAGGGGAGCGCAGGAGTTCGGGAGAGCTGGTGGGGCCGGCAGGCACGTTACGGAACCGAGGGGAGACTGGGCAAGCCTGCCGGATGCGCTCTCAGGGGAAGAAGGGCATTTGCGCACATCAGCAGTAAGTGATCAGAGGATGTGATGAGAAATAAGCTGCCGTGTTCAATAGCAGCAAGCTTATGGAGGGCCTGGGAATCATCCCAAAATACTGCACATTTCCACAAGGAAACATTTTGAACTTTCTTCACCCAAACAGGCCCCGGGCAGGGGCGGTTTGAACACACGCTGGACCCACTGCCTGGACTTTGCTTTCCTCCGTCCTGGGTGGGCCAGCCCCGGTGGGTGGCCAGGCTGATGGCCAAGGCCAGGCCAGGTCTCCTCGCCCCCGGGCTGTGGCCACTGAATAATCTCACCGCAACTGGGTGGCTCTGAGCCAAGAGACACTCAAAGGAACCTGCTGGAATCCTCTGCTCTCCCCAGGACAGCCCCATGCCTGCCTCCAACCGCAGTCAGGCCCTCAGCCCAACTGGACTCCGAGGGCACGGACCCCTGCATCCGCGGTGGCGGTGACAAATGCAGGACAGGCATCAGTGGGTATCCGTCAGTTACACGCACAGTCGAGTGAAAGCCCTACGTCACCTCGGTTCCCAGCCGCACACGCCTCCTTCTCTCTTCTAGTCCAAATCCCCATCTGCAAACGAGTTCCCTGGACCTCAGCTCATCGCTTCAATAAAGAATGAGTCGCTAGGCCCCTGGTCAGCTGGGGTTTCTCCGAGACCGCAGGTTCTCAGGGCCTGATGTCACGGGCGTTCACTTCGCGGTGTTCCGCACACGCGGACTCAGCAGGAGCTTTGTAACCGACCCTCGACACGACCTTCGGAGGCTTTTGGCACCGTGAACGTGGACCTAAGGTGGGGCGGACTGTGCCGGAGGCTCAGAGGTCACTGCCAACCTCAGCTCGCCCAGCCTCTGAAACAGCTGAAGCCATTGAGACGCTCTTCAGTCAGATCGGCGAGACCAGTCGGGCAAAATGTCTCACGGCCCACGGTCTTCCTACAAAACACGTTCTCGGCGGTGGTCTGCCAGCAGGGGGCAGGTGCAGGCTCCGACGGTGTCCTCACTGCTCCACGGGCCCAGCGACCCTGTTCACCACGGAAGGGCTGACGTCACGTCCATGTGAAAAAACAGACAGAAACCCGAATGCGTCAACTGCGACCGCTTACGTCGCTGTGTCAGCCGGAGTGGAGGGACGCAGGTCTCGTTCTTATTCACTCCACAGTTACACGGAGAGTCTGCCCCGTCCCAGGTGCGGGACGGGGGGTGGGAGCTGCAGCCGAGACCGAGGCCGAGGCCGCTGCAAAGGCAAGTTCACAGTGGGGCGGACCTGGACGCGAGTGGGTTGGGCTCTGGGGGGAGGTGACAGGCCTCACTGGCCTTTGGAGGGAAGGGCTGAGCCCAGCAGAGGGGGAGGGGCAGGCAGTGGAGGCCTCCTGGGGAAAGTGAGGGGCCTGAAGGGAGGGGAGGGAGGAAGGGAGGGAGGGGGGGAGGGAGGGAGGGAGGGAGGGAGGAAGGGAGGGAGGGGGGAGGGAGGGGGAGGGAGGGAGGGAAGGAAAGAGGGAGGGAGGGAGGGAGGGAGAAAGGAAGGGAGGGAGGAAGGAGGGAAGGAGGGGGCACCGCGGGAACAGGCGCGCTCATAGACCCTGTGTGGAGCTGGGCTGGGCCTGCAGGGCGGGGTGGCCGCCTTTGAAACCACACCTGTCACTGCACCTAAGTGACTGGGGGGAACTTCACAGAGTGTCTTGAAATACTCTCACAGAAGAAGGGACGTTAAAAGGCTGCCCGCAGTGAGCCCTGGCAGCCTGAGTCTTGCTGTGCTGGGCGCTGTGTCCCCGGGGTTGGAACTCTGGACGGCATTTGGAGGGCTGAGAACTCCGTCCCTACACCGGACTCTCGGTCACATGAGTGCCCAGAGAGGACTGAGGGCGTCACTGCCCCGCCCCGCTTCCCTCTGCCCGCACGTGTGTTCGGCGGGAAAGGGGGAGATAGAGTCCTGTGCCGTTCGTGTTTGCTGAGCCCACACTCCACGCCTGTTGAGATCACAATTAGATTTCTAGCTCATTCTCCCCAATGGAGTCGCGGGGTTACTTCCGGCACAAGTGGGGAATCACGGACGCCAAACTCAGAAACCTTTAGGCTTTTGCCACATTTAACTTAGACACTCGGGTCCGTGTGTCCACACCGCAGCTTCCACACCTAACCCGCGGGCACCAAGAACGGGCGACCAGAGTCCCTCGGGAAACTCACCGTCGTTCCTCAGGATCAGCGGCGTGGGGGGGCCCAGCACCCTGTGGTTCGTCACCGTGTTCGTGACCACGCAGGTGTAGTTCCCGACGTCCGAAGTTTCCACTTTGGCGATGTACAGGTTCCCGGTCTCCTGGGAGACGAAGCGGCGGTTGTCCTGGTAGGAAGGGTACTCGTTGAAGATCCAGGCATAGCTCAGCTCTGAAAGTGAAAGGGACCCTCGTTACCGACGTGGCTCTTGGGACTGACGCCATGTCTGTGAAAGAGATGGTCAAGCGGTGTCCCCGCTGCTGCCCACAGGTGGCTGTTCCGCCTGCTGAGTCGACACAGCAAGTGACTGCGGTCCCTCTGCCTCCGTCCACCCAGTTTTATTCCCAGGGAACAGGAGGGCGCGGAGGCACGAACCCAGTGTCTTTAAGACCAGGGAACAGGCCTGCGAAGTTTGCTGAGCGCAGTTCGCCGAGTGCTGAGCGATGCCCCCGAGCCACTGCCCCAGTCAGACCTGGCCCGTCTACCCCGCAGGTGGCAAACACAAGGCCCGAGGGCCAACTCCACCTTGTTTGATCCCGCCCGGCACCCTGTTACTACCCAGCGGCAGCGCCGAGCTCTCACTTAACTGTTCAGGAGTAGTTACATTCACACAGTCCTAAAGTTACACTCGGCCCTTTGAAGGCAACTGTGAGGCTGATGCAGCCCCTGGTGGACATGAGTTTGACACCCCTGGTCTACAGCCTCGAGACGGCAGGGCCAGGCCACCCTGGGCTGCCCTTCATCTCGTGGGTAATACCCACTCACCGTGACAGCGCCTCGGAGCGCCTGCCAGGTGCCTGCACCCGGCCCGTGGTCTCCAGCAGGCTCTGCAGCTTCCACTGACCGAGAAGCGTGGGCACGGAGAAGTAAAGGACGCAGTCTGATCGCTCCCACTTCGGGTCTTGACCCAGTCCCCTCCCTCTCACCGACAATGAAGACGCCTGCTCTGTCCTTACTTGTGAGCGTGGACTCTTCCTCCGTCATTTCAGTGGGGTGGTGGCTTAATATTGCAGCAAATACTAGCTAAACACACAATGACTGACGGACGGGTTGGCTAGTCCCATACACGTAAATCGTAACTTAAAAATTAGCTGAAAAAATATTACATCCATCAGGGGCTGACTACAAAGTAACAGTTAAGAGCAACCTTTTCGCAAATACTAGTCAACCCAGGACACTTGGGGGTGGGCGTTGCCAGCAGTCACGTCTGCGAATGCTGTCCTGGTGATGGAGGATGTGGGTGTCGTGTGAATGAACAGGGCGCCTGGGCTCCCCACCTCAGAGAGGACCCCACAGCAGGGCAGTGAGGTGACCGGCTGCTGTGAGCCTGTCACCAAGGACACAGGGCCACCCGCGCTCCAGGCCCTTCACGGTCCCGCTCCCTGCAGTGTGACCTCCAGCTCTGTCCACGGCCAGGGCTGGGCGGAGGGGTTCCCCCACTTGTCCCGTTTCATTTTTGAAAGCGGTTCTGGTGGGGGTGCGGGGCGACACCATGAAGGGGCCGCCGGGTTTCAGAACCGGGGCTGGGCGGGGGCTCCCGGCTGCCCTCCCACGGGACGCCGGGCCCATGGCTCAGGGCACTCAGTGTCCTCGGGAGTGACCAAGGGTCTGCTCGGCACTGGACACGGAACCCTGAGTGCTCCGGGAGACGCTGTTGTCACCGAAGACTCAGGCCCGCCGGGAACTGCTGCGTACTCTGCTGTGTACAGAGCTGGAGGGGCCGGGGGACTTCAGCTGCTTGTTGCTGGACCTCGCCCTGGATGCAGGGTCTGAGAGCGGCCACACTCCGTACTGTGGCCTGTGCAGCAGAGGAAGGGACCCCGGGCTGAGCGGGGGAGGGCACTCTGTGTCGGTGAAGGTGAGGCCACTCTTACCCCTGGAGAGCCTAGCAACAGGGCGGGGGGGGCCCCGGGACGGTCGGGGGGTGCCGCCCCGAGGCAGGTTTCCCACCAAACAGGAGATTACCCCCCCCCCCCCCCGCAGCACAGTGCTCCCCACTGGACCCGGCGAGTTCCGGGCCCCCCCCCCAGCCGTCCCTGAGGGTCTCGATTCTGCCCCGGCACAGGGAGGGCGCTGCCCACCCTGGAATGAGCTACGGGGGAGATTTAAGGATGAAGCAGCGTCTCCAGAGTCATTTCCCATCACAACGGCAACCAGCCCTCACCTCTCCAAGGAGTCAAGTAAATGAAAGCATGTATATGTTTGTTTTCCCAGAGACGTTTTTCAAAACTGCTCCCAGTGGCGAGGCTTTCTGGAGTTTGTGGGAGAATGCCCTTTGTAACTGGAAAGCTATTTGGACCACGCGTATCAGAAAAAATTCACCTGCTTTTTTTTCTAATCTAAATTTTTTAAAAAGACCAGAAGACCCCAATTCAGACCCGTGTTACAGAGGGAACGCCCATCATGCTTCACTTTCAGCGGCTCTGTCCGCCGAGCGGGAACGAGAAGGTGTGGCGCGGCTGTGCCGGAACAAGCGTGTGCGTGAACGCCGTGTCACGGGCACAGCTGAGTCATGGAAGCGCATCACTTTTAAAAGTAAAAGGTAAAAAGCATAACGTGCTTTTTAATCTATTAGAAAGTAAGTTAATTACTCTGGCGTCACTGCTGCTGTGGCGGAAGGGACTGAGCCCGCGCATCTGCTCAGCTGGGGCCCTCCGAGTGTTTCTACGCTGTCGCTCAGGCTCTCTGCCCGCACCCCGAGCAGCCACACTCGAGAGGGCCAGACGGCAGAATGGCTCTGAGAAGCACTGGGCTAAGCCAAGTTTAACAGATTTTTTAATTTCTCCTTTCAAAACAGGCAAGAGATTTTTAATGTGTCGACGATTGTGGAATTCCTCAGGGCTTGTCTACTCGAACTTATCGGATCGCAGTACCCCCTCTCAACCGTCTTTACACACACACGCTGCTTTTCCAGACATTTATGAGTAGGTCACGAATCCGAGGGTGGGAATTCCTGAGCTAATAAAGGCGATGATTCCAAGGAACGGTAAGTATAATGTGAAGATTATTACCTGTATTACTTTGGTTTGGGGAAGATCGTTAAGTAACATTACACAGCAGAAAGCAGCAGCAAACATTAAACCGATGCTGTAATAAGTTTCCCAGACCGTAATGACGGTTTGACACTGTAACTACCTTCCACTCCGTGGATGGAGACACAAGCGACAGTGGCCCGGGAGAGTCCCCGGCGGACGGCGCCGAGGACCGGATCTAACAGCAGCTGCACACCGTGACCTCTGAGACCTCGGGGGCCCTGAGTGCAAAGGTCGGCCAAGCATATGGGCTGGGGCCTGGTGAGGTCATGCTGAGCTAAATGCTGAACTCTTGAAGGGGCAGAGAAAGCTTCTAGAAAAACATATTAATTTATTTTTCTTGACAGCAAATTGCTGCCTAGGCCATTATGCTTTCATTTCTCCAAGACAATGAGGAAGGAGCACTCGGAATATAATACAATGAAAATGCAAAAGCAGGCAAGCGCATGAATCCCAGTTTTGTTTCTTCCTTTGAAGCCAAGAAAGGAGAGCAAAGCTGGAGGAACCACGCACTGACTCCAGTCTGGAGTAGTGAAACCCCAGTGCGAAGCCGTAGTGACGAAAGCGGTGTTGTGCTGGGACAGAGACAGACACACCGATCAATGGAACAGGACAGTGAGCCCGGAAACGGACCTACACGTACGTGGTCCACGAACGGATTAGAAAGGAGCCAAGGGCACAGCGCCGGGAAGAGATGGCCTGCTCAGTGCGAGCTGCCGGGAGCGCAGGGCGGCTGCGCGCCAAGACTGGAACTGCACGCTGTCTCACCCCGTTCGCAAAGGCTGACGCGAGGCTTTTTGAATCTGACACCAAAGCAACAAAGGAACAAAGCAACAAAAGCGAAAATAAACCAATGAGACGACATGTATTTACAGATCCTACAGCCGGTAAGGGATTGATATCCAAAATGTATAAAAAACTCACACAATGCAGCTAAAAAGGAAATCATTAAAAAGTGGGTGTCAGATCCGAACAGACATTTTCCCCAAAGAGAAATACAAATCCGACCAGGCAACACAGGTACGTGAGAAGATGCTCCACATCCCTAATAATCGGGGAAGGCAAATCGAAACCACGATGCGATGTCACCTTGCAGAAGGTCGCCTGTCAGACTGGCTATTTTCGGAAGGACAAGTATCACTGAGTGTTGGTAAGGACGTGGAGGAAAGGGGCCCCCCCGCACTGTTGGCAGGACCGTAAACTGGCGCATCCACGTGCAAAGCCAGCGTGGAGGTTCCTGAAACGACACAAGAACGGAGCCCTGGCTGGTGTGGCTCAGTGGATGGGGCACCGACCCGTGAACCAAAGCGTCACCAGTTCGATTCCCAGGCAGCACATGCCAGGGTTGTGGACCAGGTCCCCGGCGTGGTGGTGGGGGCGTGCAAGAGGCAACCACACACTGGTGTTTCTCTCCCACCCTCCCCCTCTGTCTAAAACTAAATAAATAGAATCTTCAAAAAATACAAGTAGAACTGCTTTATGATCTAGCGATCCCATCTCTGGGCACTTACCCAACGGAAATCAAAACACTGATTCAGAGAGACACACGCCCCCCATGATCAGTGCCACAGCCACGGTATAGGAGCAACCTGAGGGCCCTTGGACAGACAAACGGACAAAGAAACGGCGGCATCTGTACGCAGTGGAACACTACTAGTAATGAAAGAAGAACAAAACCTTGCTATTCACGCCCGAACGGATGGACCTCGAGGGCACTGTGCAGTGTCGGATACAGAAACAGGCAAATCCACACACCCTCCCACCTCCCACGTGAAGCCTAAAACTCAGCCCACCGGTGGGGCCTGTGGATGCGGAGAACGTGTCGGTGATGGCCAGGCTGCGCGTAGGAGACATGGGGAAGGGGGTCGAAAGGCAGAAAAAATGTAATGTTTTCTAAACCCAGCAACACAAAGCTTCCTGGCCGCTCCATCACCCCAACAGAAAGAGCCGTTCTTCGGTGCACCATCTCCACTCCAGCCTACAGGCCCGTGGCTTCTCGTGATTCCAACCCCAGCATCAATGCCATTAAAAGACACGGAAGTTCTGAGGCCTGGACTGGGGGAGGGCGGAGCATCCAGGCTGGCAAAGCAGGCAGGCCTGCCCGGCCCCAGTAGCTGCCCCGCCACCCGGGCCCCCTCG